CATTCATCAGAAAAGTTGACTGGAACAACTGTGCAATCTTTTAGCAGATGCCCTGTGCATTATTGCAGGTATATGACACTGTGGGTAGGGACACAGGAAAAGGAAGCTCATTTCATCATAACCTATAAGAAGTATGAAATGGTGTTTGTCCTATCATATAACTTCCTATAGATAATAAAAAAACATGTGTTTTTAAAGCCTTTAAATCGGACAAATCAGAGGCATCATATATAAAATATAAGGAAGCCAATAATGCTTGCAAAAGGCAATTCAAGTGGCTAAACTAAAAAATGTGAAATTGATAACCAAAGAATGCAAAACCAACCCCAAAGGTTTTCAAGTACATCAATTCTAATAGAAATTTTAACTATTTTTCTTCAGTATATATTAATGAGGATCCTATGACAAGAGATATGCAAATGATTGCTCAAAAAACTTGCAGATACCTTGTGATTGGAGGATTCGAGACAAGGTGCTACAGCAGTAAAAGAAAATTAATATAAATAAAGCTCATGGGCCTGATGATATTCACCTATGAGTACTTAAGGAGGTAAGTGGGGAAATAAGTGAACCTCTGTATTTAATCTTTCAAGATTATTTTGTTTCAGGTATTGTACCGGAGGATTAGAGGAAGGCAGATGTTCCTATATTTAAAAAGGGTTCAAAATCCTTGCTTGGAAATTATAGACCTGTGAGCCTCACTTCTGTGACTGGAAAAATATTTTCAGGGCTACTAAGGGATAATATTCAGGAATTCATTGGGAAGAACTTTGTTATTAGCAATAATCAGCATAGTTTTATGAAACATAGGTCATACCAAACTAACCTAATTGCATTCTACAAAGAAGATCAGGGTGTTGCATTGGATGTAGTCTACTTGGATTTTGCCAAGGCATTTGATACGGTTCCTCACAATGGGTTAGTCATCAAACTAAATGAAATTGGTCCAGATGAATATTCTTGTTCTTGGGTAGAACATTGGCTTAAGGATAGAGTACAATGAGTTGTCATTAATGGTAAATTTTCAGGCTGGACAAAAGTGGTAAGTGGTGTCAGTCAGGGTTCTGTTTTGGGACCGCTTTTATTTAACATGTTTATAAATGATCTTGAAATAGGCATTGAAAGCCATGTTTCAGTGTTTGCAGATGAAACAAAACTAGAAAAAGTGCAGAGACGAGCTACAAAATTAATAAAGGGAATGGGAAATTTTAGTTACGAAGAAAAGTAAAAAAATGTAAATCTCTTTAGTTCGGAAAAACTGCGCCTCCGAGGGGTTATGATAACATTATACAAATATATTCAGGGCCAGTACAAACCATTATCTGGAAATCTATTCATAAACAGGGCTATACATAGGACATGAGGTCACGCATTTAGGCTGGAAGAAAGGAGATTTAATCTAAGACAAAGAAAAGGTTGTTTTACAGTAAGAGCAATAAGGATATGGAATTCTCTGCCTGAAGAGGTAGTTTTATGAGAGTCCATACATATGTTTAAACATCAATTGGATAAAAACTTGCAAAAACATACCATACAGGGATATAATTTCTAATTAGTGGGGTAATAGCTGCTTGATCCAAGGAGATATCTGACTGCCATTTTGGGGTCAAGAAGGAATTTTTTCCTAGTTTGTTGCAAAATTGGAAGCGCTTCAGACTGGGTTTTCTTGCCTTCATTTGGATCAACAGCAAAAACATATGTGAGGAATGCTGAACTCGATGGACGCAAGTCTCTTTTCAGCTATGTAACTATAACTGAAAGACAAGAGGAGAATGAACACTGCCTTTAAAAATACTGTAAAACGTAACTTATAGTGAATGAAATACAAAGTGATCATTTCATACATTTTCTCTCAATACGTCTAGATACATATGTATAGAGGCATGAGAAGACAATATGCAGAAATGTAAGATTTAAAAAGACGAAAAAACAGCATCTAAATAGTTGGGGATGCTGTTTTAAATGTCTAAATGGACCAAAGTGTCCAGCTCTATACAGAGACTCACTGCTGTAATAGTTTGTCTCCTGTCACTATTTGTAAAGAGTATTCTCTAAAAGTTTGTCAAACTCTAAAATAGAGACTGTCTACAGCTGAAGTTTATAAAGAGTACTCTGTTACAATTTAGTATAAATACAGGTTCGAAATTATGTGACAAAACGAAGATATATTGTCTGGTATTACTATTAGATACAGACTGTAGTCTAGGTATATATCTAAGAAAGCGCCATCTGTGGGTAGTTTGTCCCAGTGTAAATATAGACAGAAGAGAGATACGAGATAAAGATATTGCTGTGCCTTCGAGGGCACCTACCAGGTAGAAGGGCTAACTATAGAAAATGAAGAGAGGAAAAAGGAAAATGAGAGCGCTGAGAGCGTAATAACCACAGATAATATATGCGGCTAGATCCTTAATTCACCTCCCAAAATACCCTGAGAGCGCTGAGAGCGGACTAACCACAGGTAATGGATGCGGCTAAGTCCTTAATTTCCCTCCCAAACTACCCAAAAACTATGTATCTATAAATCAAAATAGAAAAGTCCAAAAGTAATCACTGCAAGTGCAGAGGGTATAATGCTGGGAGGGATCGGAAAAACCCCGCCTTACCAGCGAAACACGCAGATAATTACAGAGCCCGTTGCTGGTAAAAATTGGTATAGCTAGGAAGTGTGCAATTCCTGCCTTAGCCATACTTTCAGTGGGGACTGGGCTGTGGGGGACTGGGATCCCTTTTTAGTATTAAACGGCTAAAAAAAATAGTCCAACACTGAATGCTGGAACAGCACCAGGAGACTCCAGACACTAAAACCAATTCAATGAGATCAAATCTTCCCCAAGGTCAAAGGTTACTAGCTCTCCCAAATTTCCTGTACTTTCATGGGGCGCTACAGTTTGTCTTATTCATGCCCCTTAAATTGTCTGCATTTTGAACTACTCTCTGAACTGAGAATAACTTACTAAAAGTAATATCAATCTATTATTACTTGCAGTGGCAAATTCTCCTCCCGACTGACTGTTCACACAGAGTTTTTAAGTGTCCCATTAAACCACCCTACAAAAATCCATGTATTAAATTAATGTGGTTAATTGTTTTTGAAAAACCTTTATAAGAAAAAACAAGCATTCAGAATAGGTGGTTCCACTAACCAACAGATGCTAGCATGTCAGAAGTAGCAAAAAAGCCCAAATGTAATTCAACAGTAGACAAAAAACACAATGTGTTAAAACAGGATTTAAGTGATATTGTCAGTGTAAAGTGTAAAGTGCAGCGCTAAAAAGTTTTTAAAGCTTACCCATGCATTCAACAAATGTTTTCATATACATGCTGGGGGAAAAAAATAAAAGAGAGAAATATAATAGTGCAAAATTGTTTAAATTAACCAAAACAAGTAATTCATTTGAAAAAGGAATGCTCACAATCAAAGAGCCTTTTAGACGTTATGGCCCTGAACGTGCTGGCTTTCTGTGCCTTTCCATACGAACAACATACAAAGTCAGCCAGATACATCACTTCCGCCATTCGTGCGGACAAACAAATAATCAGTGAAAGCATCTGGTTCGAATGATGCCCTCGGCTGAACGAGCATCCTATTGGACGAAAGAACCATCGAACATCCCTTTTTAAGGAAGGAAGTAAATGGAAGAATGCACCGATTGAAAAAGTCTGTATAATAGGGCAACGCGTCTCGGAGACCTGGAGGATTATAGATTTTATGCTTTATCATTTTTGGTTTTATCTCCTATGTGGAGTTTTTCTTTAGTTGTAATTTAATAAAGTTTAAACTATTTGTTAATCTTACAATCCTCTGGGACCAGCATTCTTTCCTTTTACACCTCTAGGGGGTCCTTGCCACTTTTAAACTGTCAAGTCTGCACGTAAACTTGGTGCCAGTTATATATGGGTTTCAAATCAAGGTGAGCAGTAACCTGTGGATACTTTATTAGAAGAAGTAATTGTTCCAACAGTCTGCACTACTTTTCTTGCACTTTATATCTCCTGTTATATGTACACACTCCACTGGAGTTCATTAAGGGCTACAAGACAGAAGGTCCCTGTTGCTATCTTAAGAACACAGAAAGCCAGCATGTTTAGAGCCATAACGTTTAAAAGGCTCTTTGATTGTGAGCATTCCTTTTTCAAACAAATTGTTTTGGTTAATTTAAACAATTTTGCACTATTATATTTCTCTCTGGTTTTTTTTTTGGGGGGGGGGGTTCAGCATGTATATGAAAAAAAAATTTAAATGCATGGGTAAGCTTTAAAAACGTTTAAGCCGCACTTTACACTGTTTACGTCAGGAAAGGGCAATAACACATAAACCCTGTTTTAACATGTGTTTTTGTCTACTGTTTAATTTCTGGGTCTATATGAGAACCAATAGAGTGTTACAGCTGCTATTGGCAATACAATTACTAAGCGCCCAAGTTCCACACATAAAAACACCTATCCCTGCAAATGT